TGGTTGGGTGCATAGATATTGATAATTGAGATCTCATCATACTGAGTATTGCCCTTAACAAATATAAAGTGGCCATCTTTATCTTTGGTTACTTGAATTTTCCATATAAGGGGTCTGGCATATTGCATCCTGGAGGTGTCATTTAACAGGGTCCTCAATCCCTCATATTTATTTTATTAGATTCAGGTTCAACTTACCCAAACTTTTTTTTATAGAAAAGAAGAATGAAAATGCTAACTGTGGCTTTTATGTGATCACTCCAGCTGGGTTGGCTGAATTGAAAATAAACTTCAATGTTAAAAAAAATAATAAAAACTTCTGTGCTGGGCAGTGCCTGTGGCTCAAAAGAGTTAGGGCACTGGCCCCATATGCCGGAGGTGGTGGGTTCAAACTCAGCCCTGGCCAAAAACTGTAAAAAAAAAAAAAAAACCAAACAAACAAAAAAAACCCCCAAACTCCTGTGTTGTCATCTTACTAAATATTAGAGCCATGTTCACCATTTCAGGCTATTTTAACATGGTACTGCCAGGCTGGATTGGTGGAATTTTATTCTTTGACACTAATTAGACTCATTATAAAGGGTTCCCCCCATTTTTTTTTTTTTGAGAGAGAGAGTCTCACTTGGTCACTGTGGGTAGAGTGCTGTGGCTTCATAGCTCACAGTAGCTTCAAATTCCTGGGCCCAAGCGATTCTCTTGCCTCAACCTCCCAAGTAGTTGAGACTAATGCCCAGCTACCCTGCCACAATGTCCCACTAGTTTTTCTGCTTTTAGTACTGAGAGGGGTCTCACGCTTGTTCACGCTGGTCTCAAACTCCTGAGCTCAAGCAATCCACTCGCCTCCGTCTCCCAGAATGCTAGGATTACAGGTATGAGCCACGGGGCCCGCCAACTATTTTCTGTCTCATTTATAGGCGCTCCTTGATTTGATAAGCAGGAAACATTCATGACATTTTTGATGACTGGACTACCCTCTTTCATAGAGCAATAATTATCAACATGTTGCCGCCAAAGGTCATTAAAATCAGGTTATGTCTTTGCAACAGGGCCAGCTTATTTAATTCTATTAGTGTCTTGATTCGAGACAGATGAGTTCCGTGGCTTGGACAGCCAAGGCTTCTCCATCTTTAGACTAAAGTTTCTACCGTTCCACCTCTAGAACTGAGTCAGAACAGCCAGAGCCATTACCTTCACATCTCATCCACCTTTGCCAACTTTATGGGAGTCCCTAAGACACGAACATCCGACTAATGTACCACGAGCACTTATGAATGGAGGCTATTACAGGTAATAAATGTACCTGTTCCAACTTACATACAAATTCAACTTAACAACAACACTGCAGAACCTATCGGGTCCATAACCCGGGGACTTCCTGGCAGTAACTTTCTTCCTAAAAGCCATGAAAATGAGTTAACAGTCATCTTGGAAAAGTATGTTTCTTATGTAAAATACATTTTCTCCCCCTTCTCAACCTCCACTGACAAAGAGCTCCCCCTACCACTATAAGGCAACCTACTTTTTGGTTTTCTCCCCTATGAAGCCCCAAACCTGACATCAATAATAAATATTCAAGGGCAGTGCCTGTGGCTCAAGGAGTAGGGCGTCAGCCCCATATACCAGAGGTGACAGATTCAAACCCAGCCCCAGCCAAAAAACAAACAAAAAAAACTGCAACAACACCACTAAGAAATATTCAAAACAATGTTCTTAAATGGACTTACCTTCTGTTAATCTGAGAACGAGACTGGGATCTAGTCCATATTTTTCAAACGAGCCGCTTGTTTCAGAGTGGTAAGTTATTTGGCTCAGGTGTGAACGACTCTTCATTCGGGATGAAAAAGTCGACTTCTGGTGGATTTTCATGGTACGGTTCTTAGCTTTTTCCTGCCCAGGTAGAAAAGTGGATAAGAATTTTTTATATTCCAAAGTAATATTATTTTAAAATTAGTGATCATACATAAAAATATCATTTGCAGCAAATGATATTAATATTCAAGAAGCAAGCTCGAGTTCTTATTTTTGAAGGAATGTGTGGTTTTATTTCCTTCCTACGTGGAGCTGAACAAAAATATATATAACATTGAATCTTCATGATACATATACGTTATAAAGATGAGATTGGAGGGCAGCACCTGTGGCTCAAAGGAGAGCGCCGGCCCCATATACCAGAGGTGGTGGGTTCAAACCCAGCCTTGGCCAAAAACTACAATAAATAAAATAAAATAAAATAAAACCCACAAATATGGGACTGGAAAATGTCCAGCTGTCTTTATTTCCAGTTTTGTCTTGCTCTAAATGCAGGCAAATTTTGAAAATTCCAAGAGTTCATTCTGCAGAATTGAAAAGTTGGAAGGAGCTGAACTGCCCCAGTAGATTTTTTTTAAATTTTATTAATTAAATCTCATTAATTTTTTTTTCAATTTAATGTTGGGTAAATTCAACAAAACTCTACAACACATGCAAAAAAAAAAAAAAAAAAGAAAAGAAAAACAAGAGACAAATCAGTTGTTGAGTATTTCTAGATAGTTTCCTTGTTCTAATTTGGGCAAAGAAACTCTGTAATCAACTTTTTCCTCTGGGAGGAAAGAAAGTCAGTGAACCAGACTGTGTAAGGAATGACCACACAAGTAGTAAAATGTAAGTGTAAGTCGCAGTGGGAAAGCCAGCTTCATCTCTGATCTCGCTTCATGGACAACAATTCTAACCCCGCCCCTACTTTTACACACACACACACACACACACACACACACACACGTCTGCATCGTCTTACCTCTATGGGCTCGACACATTCTGAGTTACTCATGAAGTTACTCATGAAGACTCAGCTCCCACTGTTATACCCAAAGCGAGCGGAATAGAGAAACGCCAGCACACTGGGTCCAAGGTAAACGAGGGTCCTTTATTGATCGGCCAAGCTGAGAGCTGACCCACACCTGAAAGTCTCCCGACCCCTAGAAGCAGGGGGTGGAAACCTTTTATAAGGGTCTTTTGGTAGGGATGGGGGATTCCTTAATGCAAGCCGAATTTGACAAGAGCCAACATCTGGTAAGGGGAGTCCTTACAAGGGGAAGCTGGAGTTTTGCAGTTATTACTGAACTCTTTCAGCTGAGCTTCCTGTCTTAAAGGGGGAGTGTTGAAAGCCCCCAGCGAGAAGGAGTTGGGGTATAACACTATGATCTCCTCAGTGAAATTTCTTCAATTTCTTTCCTTTCCTTCCTTTCCTTCCTCTCTTTCTCTCTTCCTTTCTCCTATCCCTTCCCTTTCTTTCTTTCTTCAAACAGGGTCTCACATTGTCACCCTTGGTAAAGTGCTATGACATCATAGCTCACAGCAATTTCAAACTCCTGGGTTCAAATGATTCTCTTGCCTCAGCCTTGCAAGTAGCTGGGACTACAGGCTCCCACCACAAGGCCTGGCGATTTTTAGAGACAGGGTTTCACTCTTGCTCAGGCTGGTCTCAAACTCCTCAGCCTCCCAGAGTGCTAGGATTATAGGCATGAGCCACTGTGCCCAGCTGATAGTGAAATCTTTTTCTTTTTCTTTCTTTCTTTCTTTTCTTTTTTGAGACAGAGTCTCGCTATGTTGCCCTCAGTAGAGTGCTGTGGTGTCACAGCTCACAGCAACCTCAATCCTTGCGGTTAAGCTATTCTCTTGCCTCAGCCTCCCAAGTAGCTGGGACTACAGGCACCCACTACAACACTGCGCTATTTTTTTGTTGTAGTTGTTTTTATTGTTTGGCAGGGCAGGGCTGAATTCAAACCTGCCAGCTCCTATGTATGTGGCTGGTGCCCTACCCTCTAAACTACAGGCGCTGAGCACGCTAGTGAAATCATAACACACACACACACACACACACCAGCACTACCACCACCACCACCAGCCTCTTCCCACCAACAAAGATAGGCACTCCTTTCTCTATATCTCCTTTGCACGCCTCTATGACTGTATTTCGCAGTCACTGATGTATGACATTCTAGCTATTTTAGCTAAATAAAAATTTCAGAAGTGTAAAAATGTGGGAAAAGTGGGTGTTAGAATCAAATGAAGTAGAGTACACTGTAGTTGTCACACTGGACCGTAGTGGCGTCTTTGTCTTCCTCCACCAGGGGGCAGTCTTTGCGGGACGTGCTGGCTGTGGCTCAGGTTTATCTCAGATGCTGACTTCCCATCTGCCTGTGTTGGTAGCTGAGTCCCGGGTCTTAACCAGCAGAGTCCGTAAGAACGATGGATAAGAGGATATGACTGTAGCATTCATTGGGATTGGGGTTTTAATAAAACCTTACCCTTGACTTGGCTGCCATTTCATTTTCTTTAAAAAGAAAGAGGTCTTTGAAAAAGATTTTATAAGGCCTGTCCTTTTTGACTGTGTCATCATTTCCTTTATCTGTTAAAAAAGAAAAAAAGAATGAATGAATTTCAACACCCCTCCTTTGTTGACCAGGATGGTAAGACTCTTGCCAGCTGGGGTAGAGTGAGTGAGGTACAGAGGTCTCTGAGAAGGTAGGATGCAGACAGCCTCACCTCCAGATCTCCAGGGCAGGAGCCTCAGCTTCTCAATTCCCCACGGCACAGAGTGCAGTGCTTAGTGCTCCATGGGGAATGATTTGATAAAATAAGGAGGTCCTGGGCAGAATAGCAGGATCACAGCTTGGGATATTAAGCTGTTACTACCCATCACTATACATGCCACCTTCCGTTACCCCTTCTCATGCCACCATTTCAGCAGCAGCAGACACAGCCACTACCCTTAGGAAGAGCTTCAGTCCAGACCAGAGAGAATTTAAAAAGAAAGTTAAAGATCATAACAAGTGCTGGAGAAGAAGTGGAAAAACTGGACCCAAACCCACTGGGGCGAGGCAGATGGTGCAGTCACTTTGGTAAAGTCTGGCGGTTCCTAAGATGAACCTAGACTTGCTATGTAATTTAGCAGTTCTACTGCCAGAATACACCAAGAGAAATGAAACCGCACTCACCGCCAGAGCTGTGTATGCATGTTTAGAGCAGTAGGGTTCATAATGGCCAAAAGAGAGAAACAACCCAAATATCCATCGACTGATAAATGATAAACAGAAGGAGAATATCCACGTGGTGAAATATTATTTGGCCATAGAAAGGAATGAGGCATAAAACCCGCCACAGCACCAATCAACACTGGAAACGTATTCAGTGAGAGAACACAGTGACAGAGGCCGACGTATTTATACTTTCATTTATATAAAATATCCTGAATTGGCAAATCCACAGAGACAGAAAGTGGTTGCTTAAGGCTGGGAGATGGGGCCTGCAGGTGATGGCTAAAGGATGCAGGATTTCCTTTGGAGGTGCTGCAAATGTTCTAAACTTGACTAAAGTGACAGCTGCATGTTATCTGTGAATACACGAAAAGTCATGGATTTGTACACTGAATTAAAAAAACAGGACAGGCCAGTAAGAAAGAGAGAAAGAAAAAGTCAGTTTAATTTCTGAATGGATTTTCTGGGTTTTCTTGGGGGGGGGTAGTTTCTGTTTTTATTCATAAAATTTGAAATGACAAAAAGTCTTTCTTTTTCTTTATTTCTGACTTTTTTTTTTTGAGACAGAGCCTCACTATGTCACCCCTGGTTGAGTGCTATGGAGTCACAGCTCACGGCAACCTCAAACTCTTGGGCTTAAGTGAGTCTCTCACCTCAGCTTCCCAAGTAGCTGGGACTACAGGAGCCCACCACAATGCCTGGCTGTTTGTTTTGTTGCAGTTGTTTAGCTGGCCCAGGCTGGGTTTGAACCCACCACTTTGGTGTATGTGGCTGGCACTGTAACCACTGTGCTATGGGTGCTGAGCCTATTTCTTGCTTTCTAAGGCTGAGGGTGGGGGTGGTGAGGAGGTAAGGGGATGGAAATCTTCTGGGAACTGGGACTTAACACCTTAAACCAGAGAAAGGGAGATAGTTCCACAGGACGTGTTCCCCACCCACACCCCTCATTCATCTCTACCTTAGGAAAAGACTCTACTCCCTCTCAGCACGCAGAAGGCTATGAAGGAACTCAGTGGTTCTGACTCTCAATCACTGGACTCACTCTGACTCTATCCTCAAAGATTCAGACTTAACTGGTCAAGCCAGCATCTGTACCGAAAATTTTTTTTCACTTCTTTTGAAGACGGGGTCTTGCTCTGTCAACCAGGGAGTGGTATCATCATAGCTCTCTGTAACCTCAAACTCCTAGTTAGAGTGATTCTCCTACCTCAGTCTCCCAAGTAGCTGGGATGACAGGTTCCTGCCACAACACCTGGTTAGTTTTTCTATTTTTTTTAGAGACAAGGTCTTATTCTTGCTCAGGCTGGTCTTGAACTCCTGACTTCAAGTGATCCTCCCACCTTGGCTTCCCAAAGTGCTAGGATTACAGGTGGGAGCTATCATGCCTGGCCAGTGTAGGATTATTTTGAGAGCCCCTCCAGGTGGCTGTGATGTACAGCCAGAGGGAAGAATTAGTGGATGAGAGCTTAAAGAATTAGTGGAACAGAAGTACCTGAGATGTGGCTGTTTGCCCAGGGCTTCAGTGGAGAAAGTGGCAGTGGTTGTCAAAACCTGAGGACCTATGGGTCTTAGGGAACTGGGTCCAAATTGTCAAAGCTCATGCTGCCTGCTGTGTTATGAGTGACCAAAGTCTTTTGTCTCTGACCTAAGAGTTTTGTATCTCTTGTCTACACCCATGACATTGTGGCAAGCTAACTTTTTAGTTACATGTTGGAGAAAAATCTTAGCCCTTATAAACTTTTAAAATTTATAAATTTTAAAAAATAAATAAAAGAATAAATAAAATTCTTTCATCTATGTTTCTGTCTGATTTTTTAAATTATTGTTTCAGGTTAATTTGATGGTACAAAGGAATAGGTTACAATGTTTGAGTTTGGTAGGTAGAGTCTCTCTTATAATTGTGTCCTGCCCCCAAGCGGTGCAAGAGGTGTGCTATATACCCTAACATGGTGCCAGCACACCCCCTCCTTCTTCCCCTCTTGTCACAATTCTTGGCAAAGTCACCTAAAATACTTCAATTAAAAAATATCCTCCTGGCTTGGCACCTGTAGCTCAGTGAGTAAAGTATCAGCCACATACACTGAGGCTGGAGGGTTCCAACCTGGCCCAGGCCGGCTAAACAACTGCAACCAAAAATAGCTGGGCATTGTGGCGGGTGCCTGTAGTCCCAGCTACATGGGAGGCTGAGACAAGAGAATTGCTTAAGCCCAAGAGTTTGAGGTTGCTGTGAGCTGTGACAGCACTGCACTCTACAGAGGGCAACACAGTGATTCTCTGTCTCAAAAAAGAAAAATCATCCTATACACACTATTTCACTATTCTGTATCTTCTTTTGCCAGTTAGTAATGGAGCTGGAAATTATTGTTACATCAGCATATATACAGAGGGCCCAAAAAAAGAGGTATACACATTTTAAGAAAAGTTGTAATACTCAGTATATATTGGTAACAAAAGATGAATGAAAGTCACATTTGAGTGCCTCTTGTAAATGCAATAGTTAAATATGACTTGAGTATTACAATTTTTTTTTTGAGACAGAGTCTCACTATGTCACCCTCAGTAGAGTGCTGTAGCATCACAGCTCACAGCAACCTCAAACTCTTGGGCTTAAGAGATTCTCTTGCCTCAGACTCCCAAGTAGTTGTGACTACAGGTGCCTGCCACAATACCCCACTGTTTTTTTTGTTGTTGTTGCAGTTGTCATTGTTGCTTAGCTGGCCTAGGCTGGGTTCAAACCCTCCTGCCTTGGTGTATGTGGCTGGCGCCCTAACCACTGAGCTATGGGCGCCAAACTAGAGTGTTACAATTTTAATACAGGATTTTTCCTTTCTTAAAATGTGTATACGTTTTTTGGCACCTTCTGTATTTACTTCATTAAAAAAAGCTACCTAGTATCTCATCCCCTGAAGATATCATACTTCACATAACCAACCCATAATGTCCAAGGGACATTATGATTGCTCCAGTATCCTGTTAACAAATATTATATAAATAATGCTGCAACGAATATTCCTGTACACACATATTTGTAGAATTTTCAATATGGTTCTTTTGAAATGCTTTTTAAACATTTAGAAGTTGGCCGGGCACAGTGGCTCATGCCTGTAATCCTAGCACTCTGGGAGGCTGAGGCAGGTGGACTGCCTGAGCTCACAAGGTTGGAAACCAGCCTGGGTAAGTGTGAGACCCTGTCTCTTAAAAAAAGAAATAGCCAGGTGGTGTGGTGGGTCCCTGTAGTCCCAGCTACTTGGGAGGCTGAGACAAGAGAATGACTTGGGCCCAAGAGTTTGAGGTTGCTGTGAGCTATGATGCCACAGCACTCTACTGAGGGCGACAAAATGAGACTCTAAATAAATAAATAAATACATAAACAAATATTTAGAAGTAGAGTAGAGACTACTAGCAGCCCCCCATTCTTCCTTCTTCTATAGGAATAGTGCCCTTAATTTACACTTGGCACATGAGCACACAGAGGGTAAACTATATTTCTCAACCTCCTTTAGAGGAACTAAGTTCTGGCTAAGGGGATGTCAACAGAAGTAGCGAATGCCACTTGTAGGCATGTTCCCCATCTCCCCTTTTCTCCTCTTTGCGGGAAGGAATGTGGGTGTGATCACTGGTGCAGAAGCAGCCATCTTGGCCCAGCCACAAGCTAGGAGGGGCCTGGGCCCCTGATGTGACCCCCCCCCATAGGGGGCCTGGAACTGTTGTGTCCCATTTCTGTTTACCTGAGAGAGAATAAACTTTTATCATGTTCAAGTCACAGCTGTTTCATATTTCCTGCCACTTGTGGCCAGACTTTTTCATTCTAAATACAGATACTGCCAAATTGTTCTCCAAAGAGGGTGCCTGATAGAGCGTGGGCTACCTGTAACCATCTAATTTTTAAATTTTTGCCAGATGGATAAGTGAAAAAAGAAACGTATTCCTTGTATACTTATAAATAAATAAGCAAGAGGATAAGGAGAAAGGGCGGTAAGGGAAAGAAGAGAGTTTGATAAAGTTTAGTTATTCATGTCCTTTTATTAGGACTAATAATTGAGTTAATTGATTCATGCCATGAGAGAGCGTAGCAGTCTGCCTAAAATATAGCCATTTAATGCATCCTCTGATTTGATATTTTTTTTTTCTTAAAGTAAAAAGTAAAACAGAAAGTTTACAAACTCTCTACGTCTTATGCTAAGCATGCCCCCCTCCCTTTGTCTAACTCTTCCAATTTGCTACGGAGCCTCACTGAACTGGGTACCAAACAAAAACTTAACGATGGATCTCTTTTTACCTGCAGAATTCTCTGCTGCCGGGAGTAAATTTGATGACATTTTGTCTCCTGGCCCTGTCCAAAGAGAAAGAAAAACATTTTTTAAAATTCTGTAAACATCTTCTAAAAGGCCTAAGTTCCACAGCCAATGACTTCCATAGCCTTTATGGCTCTGAAGAGCAGCGTACACCTAAACTCTTTGACCCAGCAATTCCAATTCTAGGAATTTAACCCAAGAAAATGATCAGACAAGGGAGCAAAAAATTACATGCAATACTACCTGCTCAGTGTTATTTAATAAATCGGATTTGACCAAATAACATCCATATACCCATAAAGTGAATTGCCAAATCGCCCTTTAAAATGATGCTATCGTCACTATTTGCCTCTGTTCACTATATTAGTATAAGAGTAGAAATATTGTGGCTAAAAAATGTATCCAAGAATCTGAGAGGTGTTTGAAAAGCTGTTCACCAAAGATTAGTAATGATTATCTCTGATAATCTGATACAATCTCTCCTTTGGTTTTTATCAGGTTTGGGATTAGGGTTAGGTGATTAAGATACTCACCTTAGCTGCAAAATTTAAGGAATGGCCAAAAAGAAAAAGAAAATACTACGTTATCTAGATAAATAACATGTTCATGTAATATTTTTAAAACATCCAAACTAATGCAGAAAAAATCCATGATAAGGGAAATATGAACATTTTAAATACAGTCAGCATCTGACTGTACTTATATGAGCTTAAAACTCAGAGCCTTGTCTCACCTGTATCCCAGCACATAGATCTTGTTTTTGTTTAAAATTTTGATATTGGCTTGGTGCCCATAGCACAGTGCCAGCCACATACACTGAGGCTGATAGGTTCAAACCTGGCCCGGGCCTGCTGAAACAACAGTGATAACTGCAATAACAAAAAATAGCCAGGCGTTGTGGCAGGCACCGGTAATCCCAGCTACTTGGGAGGCTGAGGCAAGAGAATCTCTTAAGCCCAAGAGTTTGAGGTTGCTGTAAGCTGTGATGCCACAGCACTATACCGAGGGCTGCATAGTGAGATTCTGTCTCAAAAAAAAAATAAATAAATAAATAAAATTTTGATATTTTGTTCACTGTGGATTTGGGAGGTTAATTTTTGTTCTTTAAAAAAGTGAATTAGACTATTGCTTATTTTGATAAGTGAGTTTTTGCCTCTCCTTTAGATGATGTGGCTAAAGCCAAGGCCTCTCCTTAATCCTGGTCCTGATTTTTATATTTTTTGGTATCATTCAAATTACTGAATAAGCTTGTATAACTGTTCCAATGAGAAAAACAAAAAAGATATATTCCTAAAGGATACCCAAGATTCTCTATGAAAGTGTGCCCACAACACCAACAATGGGACCACACCTCCTATTTGGGGCTGCCCATTTAAATTTACACCTCACGAATCTCAAAGAGCCACGTGTAGGAGCTAAATGTCTGAGAAGCACATCAGCAGGCTGTTGAGAACACAAACTTTGGAGAGTGGACATGCCTGATTTTGAATCTTCGTTTGTCATTTACGGATGTGTGGGCAAGTTCATTTAACATTCAGAAAATGTTTAATGAGTCCGTTCTATGTGCCAGGCACTGTTCAAGGTAGAGGAGACAGGGCAACAACAACAACAAAAAAGACAAAAAGAAGAACAAAAACCATTGTCTTTGTGGAGCCTACATTTTAATTACTTGGCATCTCTGAGCCTTGGGTTCCTGTTCCCTAAAGTGGGCAACTTGTAGCTCCACCTCTTACGGTTTTCTTGAAGATTCAATGAGGCAATGGATTTAACCAAGTGGAGGGCCTGGCTCACAGGTGAACTCAGAAAGGGGGAGCTAGTACGTGCTAATGTTTAGTAATTAGCATGTAATTTTCATTCCAGCAAAAAAGAGTGGAGAAATTATGTTAAAGTATAGAAAAGAGAAAAAGTTAACTAAAAAGCTATATTATTGACATTATACTTTTCAAATGGCTGAAAATTTTTTCATAGGCATTAGGTTCATTCTTACAGGCAAATGAGAAGTGAAAAACTGGTGACAATCTCTGGTTTGATACGTATTTGGAATATGGATTAGAAGGATGCAAGGATTTTCTTAATTTTACACTTTGTACCCATCCCCACCCTTGTCACACCTTTCCTCCTTCAATCCTTTTATCTATCTAAATTTGCTCCCCTCCCAACTCCTAGTCTCTTCACCCTAAAAGTCTCTCTGCAGTGGGCATCTTTTTCATGCACAGAAAAACCTGAACTTCTGTTCCTCTAAGCCAACTGCTAAGGGCAGATGTCTGCTCTAATTCCATCTCTTCCCTCACTCAGAGAACATGTAAACCCAATCAGCATTCTCTAGGAGTTGTTATACTTCCATATGCATGAATCCCTCTATTAATGAATAAAGGATTGGTTAGAAAAGTGGTGGAGAGGGAGAGCCAGAGGACCAGTTGTTCTTAGGAAGACATTATAAAGTTCCCTTTCCAACCAGAAAAAAAGTCAAAGCCCACGAATGTCTTGGTGGTGCAAAATAAAAATAGCAGGATGGCTAATCAAAGGCTCTGTGCCAAAAGTAAGGGAAAATGTAATTGGATTGCATAGCAAATGCCTGAAAATGCATAGCTTTCAATACATGTTCAAATCCCATTTCTGACAGGCAAGAGATACAAAGAGCTCAGACATATCAGAGATGTAAAAGCCATCCTCTTTAGAGGAGGCATTGACTCAATGATTAAGAGCATGGACCCTTCATGCTTCAGTTTTCCTACTTTTTTTTTTCTGAGACAGAGCTTCAAGCTATCCCCCTGGGTAGAGTGCTATGTCATCACAGCTCACAGCAACCTCCAACTCCTGGGCTCAACGGAGTTTCCTGCCTCAACCTCCCAAGTAGCTGGGACTACAGGCGCCCACCACAACGCCTGGCTATTTTTTGGTTGCCGCCATCATTGTTGTTTGGCAGGTCCAGGCTGGATTAGAATCCGCCTCCTTAGGTGTATGTGGCTGGCACCTTGCCACTTGAGCCACAGGCGCCGAGACAATTTCCCTACTTTTCAAAAGGGTAATGTGAATAGTGCATCCCTCATGGAATCAGCAGGTAAGTTAATAAATGCAGCCTTTGGGATAGTAAGTGCTGCCAGAGTGTAGGCATCTGGATAAGAGCATTCTAGGTGGGAGAAGATGCCTGGTGTGTTTAAGGAGCAGCGAGAGGAATAGCGGGACAAAGTACAGTGGACAACAGGGAGAGTGATAGATGAGCCAGAGAGATATTTTAATAACAAGTTCAAGATTACTAGGGTTCTGTAGGTCACTTACTCAGGGAATTGGAGACTCAATCAATGAATCAGTCTGACTGCTGAGCTGAGAAGGAGCTGTAGACAGGGATGAGGGTCACAAAGGGACACACCTGTTAGGAGGCTACAGCCACCAGGAGGCAGGAGACAAGGGGGGTCCCTTAGAATAGTAATGGAGGTGATCTGATTCTAGATACGCTTTGAAAGTAGAGCCTGCAGGCTTGGTTTATGGTTTGGTGTGGAGTATAAGAACAGAAGTAAGGATGGAGGTGCTGTCAACAGAGACAGAGAAGGTAGTGGGGGTGGTTGCGAAGATCACAGGCTCACTTGGGAACATGTTAGATTTGAGGTATCTATTGCATACACCAAGGGACACGAGTGAAGAATGCACTATTCTCCCAAGTGAACACTACACTGGTTGGTTTAGTTAATTCTTGTGTTCCTCCAAAATTTATACAATCATATGTGGCCACTGAGTTGGGTCTTTTCACGAGTGAAAAAAGACCAGTAGGTCTTTTCTGATGATATTTCGGACTGCTCCTTTGCAAAGTGAAGACTTATGGGGGGCAGGAAGATTTGACTGTGGCCTCTGACTCTTGATAGCACTGTCTTTTATATATGGAGAATTGACCTTAGTGCACCACAGTCTTTTATCAAGCACAGACAATAATGCCTTCCTTATGGGCTTGCTGAAAATTTCAAATGTGATGTGTGCGAGGTGCCTGTTTACAGTAGGCTGATGGAGAGAGAAGAGATCACTTATGCTTTCTTCAGAGTAGAGACTGTCCAGATCTTTTCTCTTTCTGGTCGACTCTGGCTTGTGAATAAACAACAGCATTTGAGAAGAATGGGGATGTGGGCGGTGCCTGTGGCCTAAAAGAGTAGGGCACTGGCCCCATATACCAGGGGTGATGGGTTCAAACCCAGCCCCGGCCAAAAACTGCAAAAAAAGAAAAGAAGAAGAATGGGGACGTAACCGACAACTAGCTTTCCTAAGAAACCCCCAGTGGGAGAGTTCTGGTCCTTTGAGAGGAAACTCCCAGCAATATCAGTGCCAATTTAGGGGACCTGGCTCACTTTCATTCAGATTTTTAACCTTCTAAGCTCCAGGAAAGTGGGGAAAGGAGAGTCAGGTTTTTACAAGGTCCAATCCTAGTTCTAGATCAATCCTAAACGAAGTTAACAATAACACTGTCTACCAGATATTATTGGAAGCAGTTTAGTTTTCACTCACAACCACCCTCTCTACAACCCAGTGGAAATGGTTTTCTAGATTATTTCAGTAGAAGATAGAAAGCTATGTTTATCTCCCCCACGCATATGAGGAGTTTAGACAGGCTCTCTCAGACCCAATGCCTTGCAGAATTTTTTCCCCACCTCCTCCCCGCCCACCTTGGACAAATACTAGGAGCAAGGGCTGGTGAACTGTGCCCCTGGATGGCATGGACAGACCAGAACCAGCAATTATTTTTTGTTTACCAGAAAGCCAGGAGCCGCTAGGTCCTTGGCCTGCTCTTTGGATTGATTGGGTGGGGAGCAGAGCATGAGGATGGGGAAACCACTTTCAGCTTGACCTTTATGGCACCAATGGCGTCAAGCTGGCTATTTTCTGTGGACTTTTCTGTTGACCTTTCTGTTGACTGCTCGTTTTGCAAAGTGAAAAAAGAAAATAACTGGAGGTCAGGAGGAAGGAAAAGGACCAAGGAGTCAGCAACTCTGAGTCAGAGCATGTGAAAAATATTTCCTAAGCCAAGACCTACTATATGG